TAGATGTCCTCGTCCAGCTGGGACTGTAGCTCCACTTCACTGTGAAACATACTGAGCCTCACATTTAAAAAAATCTGTGTTTTTCTGACACTGCTTGTTGTGAAGGGGACGCAAAGTATGGTGGCTGACACAAAAACACTAACGTCCCTGTCTAGAGCCAGTGTTTGGTTTGTCCATTCTGGGCTACTGTAGAAACATGGCAATCTCCATAGACAAGGACCTGATTATACACTAAAGAAAACACACTTATTATATTATATTCCACTTCTGCCAATATATCCCCCCCCCCCACATCCTACACTGGACCTTTAAGTTTTTATGTTTTAAGATGTTTCATGTTGTTTTTATGTGAAGAAACAGACCGTAGCTCTGCGCCTAAAAGGAATTTCCCCTCTGGGACGATAAAGTTTATCTGTCTATCTTTACGACACTGCCTCACAGACAACAACAAAGAGAACGGGGCACAGCGGACTAACTTGTGGGTTTGACACAGAAAAGATGCTGACATGTTTAAATTTGTGGCCCACTGAGGAGGGACACACTCACCTGTTGCATGGCGACTTCTCCTCCTCCTCCTCCCCTTCAGCTCCTGGCTGTGGTTTGTCCTCTGGAGGTCCCAGCAGGATCCTCAGGGACGCCACTTCGTCCTCCACAGAGAGGGCGGCGGTCTGAGGGAAGCTGCCCTGAAACAGCTTCTCCAGTCGGCTCGACAGCGACGCCTGCAGGGAGCACAGCAGCAGTTTAGGCAGATCACACAAAACACTTTCACAGTTTCTGAGGAAATGATTTGTTTAGAAAACCACAGTTTGCATTTGTGTTGATTTGTTTAGCAACTTATCAAAGAGCCTTTTCCACTCGCGGCTCTACTCAGGGATCGTCTGTAACAGGCTCATAAACAAACTGAGGCTGCAGCTGAAAAACTAATCCAGGAGTTTTCCTCCTGTCAGGCCTTAAACTCTCGGGAGTCTCCATTTTAAATTGCTGGCATTAACAGAAGCTGCACAGATTCCTGGGACGAGCATGTTAAAAGGTGTCTGATCTGTTCTGCTTAGATCTTTGGTTGATTCATTTTCACAGAGCAGCATCTTAAAGCAGAGAGCTGAATATTTCCTCTTTGAATGAGAGTTTGTGTTTTGTTTTAAGGCTGTGGATGGACTCAGAGATGTGAACTTACAAGCAGAGCAGTCCCATCTTTTGTCACAGACCTGAAACGCATCATCTGGCCACGCCTCTCCGGTCTGATAAAAGTCTGAGAGGCGAAAGCTCCGACTTTTCACTGTGTGTTGGCAACAAAGATAAACGTGTGGATCCTTTAACTTGTGTTCATTCACTACATCTTTTTGTACATCCAGTACCTTCTCACCTTGTGTTGGTGTGAGGCAGCTCTGAGTGTGAGAGGTGTTCATGTTACAGAGGGTGTGAAGTATGCTGCATGGTTGGCTGCTGAGCTCTGTGCTCCAGCAACAACTCCATTTTACATCCACTCAGAACATGTCGACACACTGATAAATGATAAAACGTTTTCAGAGAGTTTTTGAAAAGTTAAACTTCAACAACAATTAAATCTAATGTTTTACTTTAATAAACGGCTCAGTAGCGCCACCATCAGGTCAGGTCAGGAGTGTTGCTGGGTGGATGTTTGCCATGATGAACACGCTGGTCGTCTTTTTAATGTTTAGTGTTTTATCAGCTTTGACATGTCAACAATGACACACTGAGGTTATTTATTTTAAAGCTGCACACAGTCAAATAATCCGGCTCTCCGCACCAGCTCATGACGACTCTGTGCAGCCTGGTAGTGTTGAGAAGATCAGTGTCACTCACCCACCACTAGCAGGAATGTGTAGAAGTGGCGAGTACGCTATGTTCCACAAGCTCACTTTGCTTTTTTTAGTCTTATAAATAAACAACTCTGAGCCTGTTTACACTTGGTGTTAACATGCATCTTGGGTCATCCAATCACAAGCCAACAGCACTAAATAAAAACAACCACCAAGACGCACTGTGACCCGATCACTCAAACCACTTGCTGAGGTGGTCTCTGATGCATTTAGCCACATATTTTTTGTAGTAGATAACAACGTAACAGGAAAATACATCATCAGTGCAGGATGTAGTGGTTGTTTTGGTGACAGTGCATGAAGGCCAAAAAGTTAAACTTCCTGGGTTTAAAATTACCCGCATCTTCTGCAGCGTGGAGCCCACAGAGCAGGCGCACCTGAGACTTTGCTGGCAGAGGCGGCTGTATTAGTTTAGCGCCACGCTAACTCACAGGGGGAGAAAATGATTAAATCGCGCAGCTGAACTCCTGAGTTATTTTGCATCACATGACCAACACAGTTGTTGCACCGTTGCTCCACTGTGTCAAATCGGCTTCAAAGTCAAGAGCACTTCCTGCAAGCCTGGTGGCAGCGCACTAACACTCTGTAACTTGCCCATCTTACAACCAATTGGATGAAGCGTTGCCTTTGTTTTGTCCAATGAGAGAAGACATGTTGAATTCTGTGTTATCCCTGGCTGTACTGACACAACCACTAATGTGATTGGCACACATGCTAGCAAGAGTGTGGGTATAAAAACTGCGCAAGTGACATAGGCAGTTACTAAATCTGTGGTCAGCTGGAGAGGCATGATAGACAGAAGCACGAACAGGGATGTGTCTCCGCTGTCCATTTGTGTTTAGATCACAAAAGGCACATTAATACCAGGTGTAAACAGGCTCTCCTGATTCACGCCACGTTCTTCAGCTCTGGGAACAAACAATGAACGAGAGTCTGAACGAGATTCGCGCTGAACGAGAGTCTGGAGCAGCGGCGCTGGGATGTTTACCTGGCTCTTATGCAGAACTGTGCCTGCAGCACACCGTGGCAGAATCTTGGATTCACTTCCGCTTGCAGACAAACTTGTTCCTCTTTCAGAGTCGTTCTAAACGGATGATTCATTCACGGATCTAACGTCACTACAGCTGGGTGTGTTCACAGTAACAAAGACCACTCCTCACCACACCCTGCTGTGAGGTTGGCTGGCACCAAGGGAACAACAGAAAATGCCATCAACCCTTAAAAGCCAGCGCAGCTTTGTTTTCACTCTTTAATAAATCTCATGTGGAAGGAAATCTGTTTGGACGAGGGAGATGGCAGCTTAGTGCGGACGAAGAGAAGAGGATCCTGGTGCACTATTCTCTCCCAAACAGAGAGGAAAAGTTTCCATTTGTGTGAGAGTGACCTCAGACTCAAACTTGTGACCCAGTTTCTTGCTGGCTGTCACACTACTTATACTGGCCATTCACCAGTGCTGCATGATGGGACAGGAGCTCCCAGCGTGACTGATGCAGCTATGAATAAATCCTGCACCAGGCTGCAGACTGTGGGAGACTGTGTGTTAATGTGGTTCAATTCAAATACCTGAGCAGGTCGCATCCTGAGGGCAGAGCTTCTCTATGCTCAGAATAAACATCTGTGTGTGTGTGTGTGTGTGTGTGGCTGCATCATCCACACCTATCCACCTGCACAGACAGCGGACACACCACCATCTGAGGACACTCGCCACCTTCTGATTTGCTTTTCCTGTTTGCAAAGTTCAGTCTCTGCTCCACTTCACCACATCAGAAGGCCGAACATTAATGGCTCGGTTAATGTTTAATGCAAACAGTGCAGGTTGGTGCGAGGGCTGTGACTCAGCTGAATATGAAGAAACACCAGATTTAAATGAAGTCTTTTCAAAATAACTTCCTCTTTTGGTTTGTGGACCGCAGATACTTTCTGTTCTATGTGTGTTATTGTCAAATTTTAACGTACTTTAACTGTCAGTGACCAGTGTGATGTTTGCTGATAGGAAACAAGTTTCATTTGATCAAAACTACTAACTGCTACAGAAATAGTCCCTGTGAGAACATCTGGTGATGATCCAGAGGAACAGGGACGCTGTTTTTGCTCATAAATGTTTTAAATATAAATTTCAATGTTTGAACACAACAAACTAAATTTTAATTAACGTCCACTGCATCTGGGTGGTTGTTTTTAGAAACAGTAAAGAATCTGGACAAATGAAACCGAGACTACAGACACCACTGAGAGTAATCTGGATGAACTGATCTCTGCGTTTTGCTCGTACTGTGCCTCCTTGTTTTGCAATTTATTAACTCCACATTGCATAAAGGTTCTTCACCAGACTGGTTCTCTGCTGTTCAGCTCTACATAAATATAATCAACATGAGCTGGATCATAATGTGGATTCATGGCTGAGTATCTCGACAAAGTTTCCCAGTCTGACCAGTTTATTTCCCACAGTTCTTACCGACTGTCTGTCTGTCCTGCTGGTTTGCTCAATGACTGCAGGTGGTTCACTTTCATGCCACTCCTCCTCCTCCTCCTCCTCCTCCTCCTCCTCCTCCTTTTCCACCTCCTCTTGGCTCTCTGCGGGAGGAGCGACGCTCTGACCCGTGCTGAATGCCGCCCAGGACTCCCCCTCCTCCACCTGGTGCTGCTGCTCCCCAAAGGCGCTCCACCCTACGTCCGCCTCACTGTCTGCGCCTTCGGCAGCTGAGCTGAAATTCCCAAAACTGTCGCTGACGGGGAACTCTGCAAACTTGGATCCATCCTCCCCCTCGGTTCCGCTGCTGTGAAATTTGGGGGAGTTGAAGTCGCCAAAGTCGTCATCGTCCTTGGCGTCTACAGCTTCCTGTGCAGGAGCAGGGCTGTCCGACCTGCTCTGCTCCTGCTGGACATCCAGCTGGTCAAAGTCGGTAAAGCCCTGACAGCTGAAGGAGCCGGCATCTCCAAAGTCCCCAAAGTCCTCGTCCTCGTCGTCCTCTGCCAGCTGGCTGTGGTCAGCGGGCGTGGCGGTCTCCCCTTGGAGGGGCGGAGAGGGCACGGACCCCGTGGTGCTCATGTCACCGTACTCCTCTAGAGCATCTGTTGACAGCGGCCGGCCCAGTGACGTCTCCGTCTCCGTTTCTGTCTCAGTCTCATTACAGGAGCCCTTCCCGTCCAATTGTCCCGCCTCACCGTCTGCAGCTGCGTCCGGTGAGAGGTCGCTTTCACTGCAGCCCGTGGCGTCTTTGGAATCGTCCCTGTCGGCTACATCCACCCCGTTCAGAGTGAGGGGTCTGTTAGTGCAAACTGCCTCTGAGGCCAAGTGATCCTGTGCAAAGGCTACGTCCCTTTGTTGAGAGTCAGCATCCGTGCGAGAGCCCCGGTCCGTGTTGCACGAGCCGTCCGGGGCCTCAGCAGAGACAGATATGGAATCAGAGCTGGGTCCAGTTCTGTTTGTGTCCCTGACATCGTCCTCTGAAGTCGTTCCCTGCTCTATATTACAGTGCTCCTCGTGGGAGGCAGCCTCTGCCAGCCGGCTGCCCCCTGTGGGATTGTCCGAGTCCTCGTTTGCCGTCTGGCTGAGGTGTCCTTCAGCATTGGAAAAAGCAGCAAAGTCTGCAAAATCGTCCTCGGGGCTGCCGGCGGGGACGCTGCCCGTGTCCTCAGTGGACGTTCCTTTTATATGAGAGTGGACAGAATTCTGCGAGGAAGGGCTTCCCTGAACGTCAAAGGTTGCAAACCCGTTTGTTAGCACCTCTGTGCCTCCGCCGTTGCAATCGGGGGGCTCGCTGCCAGCTGTGTCGCTCACTGAAAAATCCAGAGAGCTGGAGAGGACCTTTTTCATTTCAGTTCTCTCCGAGGGACTGCTGCCCAGGTGGCTCGCTGGCACAATGCCATTAGCCTTGGACAGCTCGTTGTTGGGGGCGTGTGTGCCATTAGAGGAGCTGTGGCTGAATCCCATCACCCCTCTGGTGTTGAGGAGCTCAGGCGGCGAGGTGGCGGTCAGAGCCTGGGTCTGGTTAAAAGTGGTCGGGGTGTCGAATTCTGTGAAGCTGATGCTGTTTGGGACGCTAGCAAAGGTGCCGAAGTCTCCAAACTCGTTGTCCTCTTCCTCTGCACCGTCCTCCATCGGGGGCGGCGAGGAAGAGTACATACGGATCACATCGGGCTCCATGATTCTCTCAATCAACGAATCCTCCTGGCTACACCTGAGAGAGTGAGAAAAGACATCATCAGAGACAAGTCACCTTCCACAGTGGATACACTCATAAAAACACGTGTTTCAGCCCCATTCAAGCTTCATAAACACAAGCAGTAAATAAGCGCAGCTCTCCGTGGCGCTCCAGGGCCAATTAGCTTGATGTGTGGTTTAAGCCGAAGCACAAATTGAATTACTGAAGCACTAAAAGAGGACAGATTGGCGTCAAATTGACAGTAATAAAGTGGTAATGAGAAACCAGTGCTGTGATGTATAAAACGGAGACAGCGCTGTAAACGAACTACAAGGACTCACATCAGTGTGCATCTTCTCACCCGACAAGTTCTGCTTATAAACTCCTCAATTCATGCGATGTTTGTACTGACCTGACGAATAACCTCAGGGCAACATGAAGCACAGAAACACTGCCTGCTGATGGAGTCTATCAAAATTAACTCTGCCTTGTCAACACAAATCAATCTTGACTTTTTGCTGGTTTTACATCCACTAGTATTTCACCTCTTCACTGAATTCTCACTTGCATGTTTCTGACAAGCAAAAAATTCCTTATCTAAACCTGAAATATGAATTTTCTCTTCACTTTCTCTTTCTGCAGAGTTCCTGGATGTGCTCCAAAGGCTTAATCTCAGTGAGTATCATGACGTTGTGTGTAGACAACAACCCTCATGCAAGAAGTATTTGTCTTACAAGCACTAAAAAAAGAGTCTTTACAGATCAGTGACATGTACTGCAAAAAAACACAGAATGGTTTCTTAAAAGTTTTTTCAGATTTTACTTGAATTCTGTGACTTGCAATGCAATCACTGATGGAAAATTTCAATCTTGTGTTCGGCTGAACAACATCCTTGAAATAAATATTTAATCATCATCCATTTCTCATATGAAACTTTACTCTTTATACACGTTGAAGCGTATGCTTTCCTGTGGACAATATCTAATCATTAGGTCAACACCAAACAACTAATCATGTAAGTTGAGCACAAACGCAAAGCAGTCCAGCGGCTTTTCTGTGTCTCATAGCCACTGTAAAATGATTATGTTAAGGTTTTGGAAAATGCAACTGAAGCGGGATGAGATGTTACGGCAACTTTTGGACAATTTTATGGTTGAAATAGTTACTGGTTGTTTGAAATAATCAAGAGATTCTTTTTAAACTGATCACTAGTTGCAGCCCTACTTAGCTCATGCCAAGTTCCACAGTTCTTTTAAAAGCCTTCCTGAGAATTTAATTACAACCCTGTGTGAGACAAAACTTTCTGATCTCAAGATCTTTGATTACATGAGAAGCACAAACAGGAGTTTCTCACCGCTTTGACTTCTAACTGAAAAAGAAAGGTCTGTTTGCATTCTCAAACACCAGTCAGAGCAGTGGGTGGCGTCGGATACGTGTGTTTGCTTTGTTGGCCTTATCTCGCTGAAAACCTGGGAGCAGGTACGTTTACACCCAGGTAGCGCTGACTTGGACTACAGACATGCAGGTCCAGAAAGACGAGTTAACGACAAAGCAACATTACAGAGAAAAAAAACATAAATGTTCTTCCTCTTCCTACTTTGTTCCCAAGGAGACGAAGTCGTGATCTGTGCCTCCATCCCCATTAAAGCATTTAATTTGTCCATCTGCTGAACTCACTGAACCTCCAGCTTTACCAGCTGCAACATTTAAGTGCTGAACACATCAACGCATCAATAATCATAATCCCATAATTTGCAGATCTAAAATTGACCATTCTGCAATTCTGCACTTAAAGTTTACTCCTTCAGTAACATTTTACACAATAATATCACTACTTCTGTTGATAAGTTAAAGATCAATATACTTCGGTCACCACTGGAGGCAAATCTTGGACTTTTTACTCCTCTATACTTTTTTGACGACTTACGTTATGAGTTACACTACAGATTGAGATTATAAAATATAAGTGACACATAAATGATGATATAAAAGTGTCAACAGGACTGTATTCATCCCCAGGGAGGTGTTCACCAGCTACCCTGCAGGGTAATGTACTTTAAACTGCCTCCAATTTTACCAGCTGCAACATTAAAATGATAAACACATGAATGCATCAATAATTATAATTCAATAATGTAATATCTTAAATGGGCAATTCAGCATAATGAGTACTTTTACTTTAAGTATATTCTGGTGCTACTACTTCTGTACTTTCACTTACATATTGAATGCAGTACTTTTACTTGTAACTGAGTATTTCTACTCTGATGTACTTATTACACAACTGCTGTTCAGAGAAAGCAGCTGTTTTAAACGAACGCTTCAACACAAAGTTAATTTATCAGCACACACAATATGTCATGTATCCAGACGAGCTGTCACCTTTATGACACGTTAGCATCTTCTCACAGCTGTTTGTTTCATAATGAACTCGCTCAAGATCCGCTGGTTTTAGGAATGTCTCGAGTTAGCCAAGTTTCACACATTTTCCTCACTTGTCTGACGTTTTAGTGAAGCTAGGAGGCTAACGTTGCTAACATCGCTAAGCATCTCGCTTAGCAGGCTAACAGGCTGTGCTAGTGCTATCGTTAGCTCAGCAGAAACCTGTCAGCTCAGTAGAGTTGTGTAGACCTTTAAAACGACTAGATTAGGGTCAATCTGACGTGAAGCTACCGGCTAGCCTTAACTAGGAGGCATCTAATTAAACTACAAGGCCGAGACACTTCGCTGAGACGGGGTGTAACGGGAGCTAACTTAGCTTAGCTTCGTTAGCCTGTGTAGAAAAACCAAAAGCCAAGCTAGTTTATAACCGATGGTGGCGGTTAACGTCTCATTAGTTTGTCGCCACTTTGCCGATTTTATATTGTTAAACACAAACATACCAGGTGTGTAAAGTCTAGCAGAGCAACATCATCAGGTACAAGTAAGTGAGAAGGCAACTACCTGGGCTAACTGCGCAGCTAGCGAACGTCAACGACAACAACAAGCATCTTCCCTCATTAGCTTTAGCTTTAGCCGATCCTCATCATCCGGCTTGGTGTCTTAGTTACCAAAAAAGAAACAAGTGATCTAACCGTGAGATGTGGTCCGCTGATGTCCATGACTCATTGGAAGACGGCGTCCTCCATAGGCTGTCAGATTGAGCCAGCTGCAGAGTGCGGGACGGCTGAAAGTGAAGCAGAAACTGAAGGTTGAGTCAGCCGGCTGCTGCTGCTCCCCTGCCTCAATGTCACCCAGCATGCACCGCTGTGGCAGCTCGGCTCTCTGCTGCTTCTTCCAAAACTTTCCATGTTGAACAGGTACATCACTTTAGACTGCACAGTGGAGCAAAGACCAGTGCTGGAACGAAACCAAGTACATTTACTCAAGTACTATACTGAAGTACTGATTTGATGTACTTTTACTTTTACTTGAGTATTTCCATTTTGTTCACATTTACAGTTCTACTCCACCACTACACCTCACCTTTTACTGTACTTCATTTGTCTGAAGCTTTAGTAACTCTTCAGATTACAGTTTTTCATCCCCTTCCTGTCCTGTGAGAACTTTGTATCTCAAGATGTATGATCTTGGATGCTCCTACGGTTGTTTGAGTATGACCAGGTGCCCACTGGGAGGCTCCTCTAGTGGAGATCATAAGTGCTGTATCGTAGGCAACTGGACTTGCTTGTGTTTCTTGAAGACGTTTCGCCTCTCATCCAAGAAGCTTCTTCAGTTCTAAATGACTGGTACGAAGTTGCAGGTTATAAACCCTGTGTGGGTGTGAACCCTTGCAGAGTCGTCAGGGTCACGTGACCTCTTAAGGCCCTGACACACCAAGCCGACGGTCGGCCGTCGACCAAAGTCGGGCGTCAGTGAGCGTCTGTCGCCCTAGTTTTTGCAGTGTGTCCCGCCCCGTCAGCACTTTGGCATCGGCGGCTTTTCGGCCGATTGAGCATGTTGAATCGGCGGTGGAGCTTGTCAGTGAGAGAGATCACTCTGATTGGCTGTTCAGGTTTTATTTCCTTGCCCCTGTAGCGAGTGAATCTGCCTGCAGTGAAACCGGGGCTAACCGGTGCTTCCTCCTCAGGCTCCACTTCACTCAGCTGCCCCACAGACCCACTCCGGTTGGATCCAAACGGAGAGCCGGGGCTAGCTCAGAGACTAGCGGAGGCTAACTGGCTGTGCTTCCCTCTGGTAATGCTGCGGCTAAAGCTCCACTAGCCGCTCCCAGCTAGCTCCGGTTTGTTATTCAGGTTAAAGTGTGAAGAAGCAGAGGGTCTGTGGGGCAGCTGAGTGAAGTGGAGCCTGAGGAGGAAGCACCGGTTAGCCCCGGTTTCACTGCAGGCAGATTCACTTGCTACAGAGGCGAGGGAATAAAACCTAAACAGCCAATCAGAGTGATCTCTTTCACCGACTAGCTCCGCCGCCGATTCAACATGCTCAATCGGCCGAAAAGCCACAGACACTGAAGTGCCGATGGTGAGGGACACACCGCAAAAACTAGGCTGACAGACACTCACCGACGGCCCGACTTTGGTCGACGGCAGACCGTCAGCTTGGTGTGTCAGGGCCTTTAGAGGTGTTTCAGGCACGTCCCACTGGTAGGAGGCCCCGGGGCAGACCCAGAACACACTGCAGGGATTACATATCTCATCTGGTCTGGGAACACCTTGGGGTCCCCCAGGAGGAGCTGGAAAATGTTGCTGAGGAGAGGGACGTCTGGAGTGCTTTGCTCAGTGCTGCCCCTGCAGCACTTATCCAGGGGCCTTTGTGAGCAGGCCCCTGGATAAGTGCCTAAAAATAGATGGATAAAGTGCCTAAAAATAGATGGATAAAGTGCTCTTCTAGTGAGGAAAACGTGATAGTGTGCCCTCTATGGGGCCCGTCTAGGGCACAGAATGTCATGGAGTGTCATTCTAGTAGAGAAAACATAAAGTGTGTTTTTTACAAACTTGACATGTTCACAAGTCACTTAGGTCCACTCAGAATGGACTCACGACCCATTTTTGGACCACAACCCACCAGTTGGGAACCACAGCTCTAGGGTGCCCTTTAGGACTTCTAGTGGAGAGATGCAATAATAGGCTACAATAGGCTTGATATTACATCCTATAAAACAACAGCATATAAAGCCTGCCCCACATGCAGCTGTCACTCAGACAGCCGCTGATTTTAAATGTTTCAAATGTCTAAAGAATATTTGTAAGATATCATTTTTTAGATATCAGTACAGTGTCTGAATTTTTTTTGTAAAAATATTTTTAAAATAGCTGAATAAGTATCAGCAAAATATCCAAAGATTATCAATAAAATCTTTTTGAACTATAAAATATTTAAAAAAAAAAAAAAAAAATTTATTTTTTGTAAAATCTTAGTAAAATTTAGTAAAAAAAAATATTTTGTTATATAGATTATCTTGGTTTTGCATTTAGACTTTCCATAAGAAATTAAAAAATAGATATTACTTAGTAATCAAAACGATTAATGTTTCAAGTTGCTGTTTTGTTGTCAGCTGTTTTAAATTTTTCCATCCATGTATTTTCAGGGTTGCAGCCAGCAGGCCGAGCAAAGCACCCCAGACGTCCCTCTCCCCAGCAACACTTTCCAGCTCCTCCTGGAGGACCCCAAGGTGTTCCCAGACCAGATGAGATATATAATCCCTCCAGTGTGTTCTGGGTCTGCCCCGGGGCCTCCTACCAGTGGGACGTGCCCAGAACACCTCTAACAGGAGGATCCTGATAAAATCAAAGATCTTGATTTCTACTTTATTTTACTGTTACTTTAGAGAAATGTGACAATTTTGAATGTCATTAATCACTTTATTTTGAAAAATATAGAAAATTACAGTAGTTTTCATTGGATGTTAAAGACACACAGGCACACACTGAATAGAAAAATAGTTCAAACAGAATCATGTATTTCTCATAAAGATAATTATGTGCATAGTCTTTTATATATGAACGGCAGCAGGACGTCACTGTGTGGTTTGAGGTAGTCGTCACATACAGATCACATGGGCCTTTGCTGTGTTTATTCATGATCACAAAATATGATTAAAAATATACATATATTAATAAAACAATCTTACCCATGGCGTCTGTCGCCTTCAGTTAATCCCAATCAATGCCTTTATTTGTAGGAGACACATATAATATATACAGCTGCAGTGGTTGTGTCCTGTGGGCTGAATGTTATAAAAAATGGTGCCTCTAGTGACAGAAAGAGAAACCAAACAACAACAAAACAATAAACAGCATCACAATTACAAATTATAAATGTTCTTGAGACTTTTTGGGGAAGTTGGCGAACATTCCTACACAGTCACAAATGACAGTTCCCACACAGTTTCCTTCAGTAGACCTTAAAACACATATTTCTTACTCATATTTACACCACTTTCTCCTCATGTTTAACATTTGACACTATAAAGGGTGAATACAGAGAATGTTCAGACGAGGAGGTTTGTACTCAACAAAGTGATGACTCAAACAGTTTGAGATCCACATCTTCCAAAAAGAGGCTCGTGTGCAGAGTACTGAACACTGAAGTCTTTATTTCAAGCCAGTTTAGTGATGGTGATGCTTCCTTTGATCCATAACGTGTCGATGTCGCAGAGTGACGTCAATCTGTGGTGAAAGTCAAACAGCTTCTGTCCGTCCACAAACACGCGAAACCGACTTTGCTCACAGTGAATCTCAATCTGGGAGGAGAGGCGAGACACAAGTGGATGTTTGTGACATGTGAAAGTGAAACAGATTCAAACATGAATCATCCCTGTCAGATATTGCACTAATGTCAACATGACGATCACATTACAGCTTTAAAATGTGTCATTTTATGTACCAGAACAAAATGCGACAGGTTCATGTGACCGTCTGTTTTCTAAAACTTTAAAACCCTGTGTTGGAAAAAAATAATTTAAAGTTTGGTAAAGGAACCACAGACTGTATAAAATAATGGACGTAGCCACAGTGAGGTCACCCGCTGGTTGTGGACGATGGTTTTGAAGCCTCAAATTCAAACGTATTTGAACAAGAGGGTGGAGCTACGGAGGAGCGAGGGGTGGATCACAGAATGTGGTGACACCTTGCAGACAGCCTGTTAGCTCTCTGCAAGGTGTCTTAAAGTGGCCCGGACTCAAATATGCGTAACTTTAAGCCTTAATGAAATGTAAAGGGGTGAATTAGATAAAAATTCACCGCCTGTATAGACTCACAAGTCAGTCTTTAGACGCTTTGCTTAACTAAAGACTGATGACTTTCTCCCTGATTTTGTGTTTAGATGGGCGGATACAATTTCAGAGTTTAAAAAAACTCCCTACGTTGCAGAACCAACAGTAAATCTGCAGGGCGGTCCTTCGGTGGCTCACTGAACTCTTGTGCTCGTAAACATAGTCCGACTAGAAACACGTGTAGAGGTACAAAATGGCTCAGCTGTGCTCACAGAAAACGCCGTCAAAGTTCAGTGGATGTTTGTCGCGTTTGCGGCGACACAATCTCGCCAACTAAAAGAAACAAACATAATCTTTTACAAGGCCATGACTCATCCGTCCGGCCGGACTATAGACTATAGAGGCAATCATCTTGTTGTTTACAAGGCGATTGCCTCTATAGTCTATAGTCCGGGTAGAAAACCAGCAGAGCTATATATATAACATATATATATATATATATATATATATATATATCACATTTTTCACATCACTGTATCACCATTTAGACTAATCCGATGTTTGTAAAGTCTATAAACACAATGATTGAACAAACATTACTATTTATGTGTGCACGTTTAGCTGGGCTAACCGTTAGCTGTTAGCCCTGTTAGCCGTTAGCGGTATCTGTAATAGGTAATAACTCGTTAAACGGTCCGTGAAAAAAATATCTCTTCCAGCGGATATCTTAATTACAACATGATTGAGCTAGCAAAGCAGTTTTGTGTTGCTATGTGTGGTATTTATTCAGTTTTGGGAAATCATGATGTCTAGAAAACATCAGTGGCTGCAGCTGACAGGGACAGCTAACACTAGCAGCAAAGCTAACATCAGGACTTCATCTGTTAAAAGCCTCCTGTTGTCGGATACGACATGAAACTACTCCAGTTAGCTCAATCATGTTGTAACTAAGACATCCGCTGGAAAAAAAAAAAATTTCTTCACGGATGAGCACACGTTTGATAAAACGGAGTTAAATCTCTCGGCATCCATTTTCAAGCTCTCTGTGTGTTTGTTTCCTTGTGGACGAGAAAAGGGGGAGCACACATTTCTGAGTAGGCGTGTCCTTTTCAAAAATGCAAGAGGCGTTGCTTTGTTGCCAGCCGTTTTTGCCGGTGTGTTAAACACACTTTAGAAAGGAGTGTCCCTGTCAGAAGGCGGAGATCTCTGATTGTCTGGTGGCGAGACTACCCCCGTACAGTCATCAGGGACGGAGAAATTAGCCATAGAGACCAAACCAGGCTGTAAACATGTTTATTTCTGCTGTAAAGTTGGGCATTTTGACATGGAAGTCTATGGGGATTGACTCACTCTTGGAGCCAGCCTCTAGTGGACATTAGGGGAACTGCAGTTTTTGGCACTTGCCGTTTGGAAGGAACCAGTGGTTGTTATTCTTTTGATTTCAGCTCTGCAGACTGTCATGCTCATCACCTTTGGGTGGTGAATAAGTCTGTGTCACAGTACAAACAAAAATTAGGTGTACCTGACATTTGGTTATGGTCAATAAATTTGTAATTTTCCATGTACGAGCCAGAGCTGGCAGCCTATCCCAGCTGACACTGGGTGAGAGGCAGGGTTCACCCTGGACAGGTCACCAGACTATCACAGGGCTGACACATAGAGACAGACAACCATTCACACTCACATTCACACCTACAGACAGTTTAGAGTCACCAATTAACCTGCATGTCTTTGGACTGTGGGAGGAAGCTGGAGCACCTGGAGGAAACCCACGCTGACACAGGGAGAACATGCAAACTCCACACAGAGGGGCTGCTGCCACATCTCAGTGACACAGATTGAGAGTTTATCGGTACCTTGAACGGCTGGTCTCTGATGAAGGGGAAGAAAGGCACGGCTCTGTCGACGTCTCCCCAGTATCCGGACACGCAGGCTCTGCGCAGGACTTGTCGGTCCCTGAATCGAACACACAGCTCCAGAGCCACATCAGGCGGAGGCTCCCTGGATGTTCCACGACCACATGTCAGGGCGATGTAGAACCTAACGGAGAGACAAGCTATAAATCGGACACTTAACTGACTTTATATAAAGGATTCAGGGGACACATTAACAGTAGAGAGCAAACAGAGGTTTCTCAGCAAACTCCAACTACCCACGGGTGGGTTATGAGTCAATGGGCCCCTGGGCACAGACAGGCCTCTCCTACATATGAGCAGGACACCCAGATGGTGGTTTTGCCTCTTTTGTTGTTGTAGTTATTTTGTCTCTCTTCGTGGTTGTTTCCTGAAGACTTTTTGTTGGCTTTTATGTCTTTTTCTGTCTCTTTTTTTGGAAATAAACCTTAACATTTTGACTATACACATACCAGCCTGTTCTCATTCCAAGGTCGTCAAATTCCACCGCTTTTGTCAGTGACTTTGGTGTCCGACACCAACGCCAAAAGCCACCTTTCCCGGTAGAATGAGATGCTACCAAGAGGCGTCAATTCAAAATGCGGCCGGACAGCATCTCACGTGGCGGTATGATATGCAGCTGGATGGCGTCATTTAGAAAAGCTGCCGATAACAAAATAATATGAGGAGCTGCAGGTGGGTCCAACACACCCTGAACTTTCACCCAGGAGGCCGGTGTTCGATCCCCATGTGAATGTAGAACCAAACCATGATGTTTATTTCTAAACCTAACCACAAGGTTGTGTTGCATAGTGTAAACTGACACACCGTCCTGGAACGTCAAACGCAGAAGGATACTGCGCATATGATATGTAGATATGAATGGCACTGACTAGGTGGTGATATGTGACGAGTTGGGATGAGAGGTTGCGCATACTTCCATTTGTACTGCTGCTTTTAACCAGGGTTTCATTTTATTGTAACTCCCATCATCCCCCAGGCTTTAAACAGGAGCATAACACTGACCGATATCGGTATGTGTTTCATTTCTGTGTGTTAAGATTTGACTCGAAGAAGGAGTGTGATTTTTGACCCAAATTTACCCCATACGGTATTTTTTACCTCACATCTCCCCCTCCGCCTCCTGAACTCTACAGCCCCCCTTCTCTTTTGTCTTTGTCCTGCTGAATGTCTGCGTCCATTACAGACCGTATCCTGAAATATCCTGATGGTTAAAATGCCATTTGGAACAACGAGTTTAATTGAAGTCTACGGTCCCACCCATAACTTCAAGAGACAGAAATGTAATGTTTGTCTCGAGGGTGGCGCTAGAGGAAATGCCATTGTGTCATTAAAATCAAAATGGTTCATCCTTTTGAAAACACCAGTGTGGGGTGAATTAAGGGTGACGGGGACATACGGTCCAATGGGACTGTATAACTACATTTTGTTGATTTTCTCACCTTTGGTCAGATTTTTTATATTTTTTCCCTCCATCCATTTTCAACCGCTTATCCAGAGTCGGGTCACAGGGGCAGCAGGCCGAGCAAAGCACCCCAGACGTACATCTCCCCAGCAACACTTTCCAGATCCTTTCATTCCCAGGCCAGATGAGATATCCCTCCAGCGTGTTCTGGGTCTGCCCCGGGGCCTACTGCCAGTGGTACGTGCCTGGAACACCTCTAACAGGAGGATCGTGATCAGATGCCTGAACCACCTCAACCAGCGTTGGCAGGTGTACGATAATTATCGCATTTGTACGATAATTTGGCCCTCTGTACAATGTACGATCAATAATCCCAAAAAAGGCCAAATGTACGATAATTTGACCATTTCGTGAATGTGTGCTGTAATCAGTATGCCGTAGATTTTTTGTGAACCCTGAAGGCATCTATTCCCATGTGACATGTTTCCAGCCAATCGCGCTTTGCTTAGTGAGAGATACAGGTGACGTTTGTCTCAGAATAACGAGCACGATTGGCTGAATGGTCAGCTGCACCTGCCCCACGAGACGCTAGACTAGACCAGACTAAGTGAAGCAGGATTACTCTTTATTTTCTTGTTTGGTATCATGAATACAGTTTCTCTATGACAAAAATTAAACCAAAAAAGTAAAAAGAGTGACTATATTTGCCCATAGTGCATCATTAGGCTTGTTATTTATTATGACGGGTGTACGATAATTTCCCTCACAATACGATAATTTTGAGTCTCTGGTACAATAACACTACATTTCCTATCTGGCAACGCTGACCTCAACTGACTCCTTTCGACACTAAGGAGCAGCAGCTCTACTCCGAGCTCCCTCTGGATGTCTGAGCTCCTCACCCTATCTCTAAGGCTGAGCCCAGACACCCCAGCGAGCGTCTGGTGGGCAGGTCTTAGGCCATGGGGCCCCGTCAGGCTCAGCCCAGAAGAATAACACAGAGCCCTAGCCCTGTGGGCCCACCATCTGCAGGGACAGAAAGCAGGGTTCAGTGCATCGTGTGCCGGGCTGCAGGCAGGGGCGGGGCCCTGGGGTGCATGGCGTCGCGGACTGACTTGCAGACATGAGCTTTAGCTAGTTTTAATCATAAGGTCATTAAATTGTCAAAGCTAATATATTGTACAAACATTTGATGGAAACATGGTCATGATGTACTACTGCTCTAAGATCAGTAAAAAATGTGCTCATGTCGTAACCCAGGTTTTTTACAGTAGTTATAAAGTTTACGTAATTTCGATTTTCCATTAAACGCATCGTGAGCAAGTTTCTGGTAGACACCCTCTAAAAACTCCTCCCAAGTGTAACCGCCCCCATGGCAACGGGCAGGTGTCTAAGAAAAGTTACACCTGGAGAGGCAAGATAACGTTACGAAAATTGAAGTGGGTTTGAGATGAGTCAGCAGAGTGACGGAGTGCTGAGTCACCGTGTGAAGGAGGTTTTGTTGTCGCCTATTAACGTGGATATTCTGGTGAGTTAGCTCATTAGCCCGGGAAAAATTCCTTTGTTTAACATTTTGGTGTTACGTCATTTTATTTCATGATGTATAGAGCAAAAACTAGTCTAGTATTATGTGTGAACTGAAGCTATGTGTGTCCTGTGGCAGATATTAGAGACCTGTTTAGCCACTAACACGCTAAGATGCTAAAGGCTAAGCTAAATGCTACATTCATAGCCGCTGCTGTAGCTTCAGTCCAGCTCACAAAGTAATTATGTGTAGTTGTAATGTGTTAAGTTAACATGTGTACGCTGTAAAAAGTGAACGCAGTGTGTGAATGTGCTTCTGAAATTATAAAATATGAAATAATCTGTGCCATTTGGGGTCAGTTTACTCAAAAGATTATGTCACACCTCCTTTGAATATGATATAACTTTATTTCCTCCTCAGATGGATCAGTAACATCTTTGGTATTATCGAAAATTAGTATTTGTTGTGCTTTTTCTCTAATTAATAGCAAGAAAGCTTACAGAAGGAGGAAATTAAAAAAAACTGTCCCAGTCACCTTTAGTTCACCTTATTTGAAATCTGGTCATGTGTTTTCAAAATCTCTCATGAACCAAAGTGTAGGTGAGTTGTGAATGTTAGCATGGTGGTGGCACCTGAAGATATCCATTATGATTCATTCCCAGGGGACCATGAGTATCCAGTTAGTAGCAGTGCAGTGAAACTGATGGGAGGAGGACGGATTAATAAAAGAGAGAGGAAGTTATATTTTACCTGTCCGGACAGGAGTCCACAACACCCACCACCACAACCTTCTTCCCTGGCCGCATCCCACTTGTGATGTGACCTCTGAAAGGAACCACCTGAACACACACAAACATTTAATGACGACAAAAAGATGAACAGAAAATGTGATGAATTATTCTGGAGTCGAACTGATTAAAGACAAAAGACAAGAATAATGAAAACATGCAATTAAAAAACTGATCGATGGAATAAAAATGATAAATGCTGTAAAATACAAAGTCATTATCATCATCATCTAATTTAAATAACAGAAATACTAGTAATATATAATATTATAATAAATCTTATTTATAGAATGCTTTTTAAAATAAAGTCACAAAGTGCTTTACATGGTTGATCCTGGATTTAAAACATGCAGAATTCAAGCAAATAAAATGAGGCAATTTTAAGAAAATACATCCAACAAAAAGATAAAAAGATAAAATACCATCACTGAAGATAAGCAACTAATTGCCCTGTAGATTGCTCTGAGGTACGGCAAATCAGCAATTAGAGTAATACAAAATAAAAGAGTAACTGCTGACAACACAAGATAAAAACAATAAAGATAATCAAATGAGACATATATGAAATTAGCAGTGTGCTGAAATTAATAATTAGTTTTTTAGAGTTATAAGAAGATTTAAATGTCACTGATTCAGTTTACCATTATTAAAACTCAATCAAGTCTTTGGGTCAATGTGAGGGAAAAATATTTTGAGAAACATGCTGCAACATTGTGAAAATAAAATTGTAATTTTGAGCAAAACGTTACCAGATTTCTCTCGGCTTCGGTGTCGGGAGGACGAACACTCGGTTTATTCTCATGAGTCGCACTTCTCTGTGGAATGGTCCATTTCTGAAGGACAAAACATAAATGTAACTTCACTGGATCAGTGCTGCATTTCCAAAAATAACTGAGGATATTTAGATTGTTTGAAATCACTTGGCCATTAGATTTTTCACTGCCCTCTTTTAAAGTCATCTCACAAAACTCACTTCTACTGTCTGGCTTTCTCCTGACTTTTCTTAATTAGTTCTCAACTGTTGTCATCTGTTCTTTATGTGCACTTTTATTTGTGAACTCTGTGAATTTATATTTGATTGTTTTCGGTTATCTTTTATTTGTCCTCATGTGCGAAGCACTTTGTAACAGGTGTTTTTCAAAGGTGCTGTATAAAATAATGATTATTATTAATGTTATCATAAGTATGTCAAATTTTGTACTCGAGCACAGTGCTTGTATCTGTATTTCAGCTTCTTCCTTAAAACGTACATTACATATTTATATATTTTTCAGGATAGTTTTATTATTTATATTTTCCAGAATAAAGAACATCCCAGTTGAATACATTTTTTGATTTAGCATTATCTCTGTCTATAAAAACGTCAAAAGTTAAAGTATCAAGTAACATAAACTGATATGAAGACAGTTCGTACCCTTCAGAGAGTTTTGGGTAAAATCAAATCAAATCAAATAAAATTAAATAGAAATTAAATAAAATAAAAATGAAATTAAATTAAAATACGATGAAATTTGAAAAAAAAAAAAAACATAAAAGTTTTGTATTGTATTTTGTATTTAATTCACTGATGCTGACACTAATTTAACGGAATGAAGTCAAAGCAGCACAAAGCTTGACGTCACATGCCCTGTGACCAGCACACGCTGCGTCACATCTGACTAAAACAGGAAGTTGAATGAGTTCAGCAGGTCTTACCTTCAAAATAAAGCTATCTGTTCTGAACATGTTGCTAAAAAGGTTCACAGATCAGGTTTGAATCCAAGGTGAAAAAGAAAGTTCCTTTATTCGATGTAGCGAAATGCAAATTCAGAATAAACCACCTAGAATAAACACCCTCAGTTTTTTTTTTGAATGAATAACATTCAGCTGAAAAGACAAAAAAAAAATTCATCACTTTTTGTTTTTTGTAAAAAAAAAAAAAAAAAAAACATTAAAAAATCAGGATTTTAGAAATGCTGAGGCCACAAGTCCCACTTCCTTTGGTACCCCAAATCTCTAAAAATATTTTTTTAGTCACAAAAAAAATCTGTGTAAATGTCTTTATATATTTTCTGTCAAACTAAATTATATTTTCTGTGAATAATATCCCTCTACACGAGGGTCGTAATACTGTTTCAAAGCACTGTTATTATATTATATTCCTGTTACATACCAAATACCAAATCCTTTTTTGAAATTAATTATTTTATTTTATTTTATTTATTTATTTATTTTGCCAATAATGTTTAGATTTAGCAGTACTGAGTTATATAATCATCAGAAACTCAGGCATATTATATATAACTTATTTGTACTTTGTGAATGCCATCTCAAGTCAATAAAACCCCAAAATACAAAGAAATACAAACCCCAAAACACAAGGACATGACCCTGGTGTCCTCCAGTGGTGTAAGAACTACTCAGTAACACCACAGTGTAGAAATACTCTGTTACAGCTAAACATCATTCATTCAAATTTTTTTTATTATTATTTTTTTAAAGATATTTTTTTGGGCCATTTAGCCTTTAATGGATAGGACAGTTAAGTGTGAAAGGGGGAGAGAGAGGGAGTGACATGCAGCAAAGGGCCACAGGCTGGATTCGAACCCGGGCCGCTGCGGCAACAGCCGTGTATATGGGGCGCCTGCTCTACCACTAAGCCACAGACGCCCCGCATGCATTCAAAATCTTACGTAAAAGTATGAAAAAGGCACCAAAAGTAAAAGTATATGCAGAACTGCCTCTTTCACAACAATGTTTGATATTATAGGATTAAAATTATTGATGCATTCATGTGTTCATCACTTTAATGTTGCAGCTCATAAAGGTGGAACTCATTTTTTTTAAATTATTTGTTACACTGTTGGGTAAATTAATCCACATAAATTATCAGTTAATTATATATTTATTGTATTATTAACTTGTAACTTAAGTTATCACATAAATGTAGAGGAGTAAAACGTACAGTCACATAAAATGGAAATACTCAAGCAAAGTTCAAGTACCTCAAAACTGTACGAAAGTATTTATACTGTCTTCATGGTGCTTAAAGTATTACTGTAAAAAGGTAAATACTTCCCTACTGAGCCTCCTGAATACAGTATGTTGAATTGTTTTACATTACTTAGTTAATACATTTTTAAAAAATGCTGCCACATTTATTTGATGCAGCTTTTATTTTGTTAGTTCTGACCAGAAGTTGGCGTGTTTCATTTCTGGTAGTTTGACAACAACGTGTTTCTGTCCAAACTAACAGAACAGGTTTTCAGTCACCTGAGAATTAAAGCTGCAGATCAGAAAAGTCAGTCTGATGTGGGGTTGGGGTTAGACGTGTACTGATCAGGCTCCTCTGCTGGGCTGGTTTATGTAATCTCCCTCACCTGCTTCCTGTTGCTCAGGTGTGTGTGTGTGTGTGTGTGTGTGTGTGTGTGTGTGTGAACTCACCTTCCTGCCCTGCGCCGTCACTCTGTGTGTTTCAGCCATGTTGAGTCGACCTGAAGGAAACAAACAGCAGAGAGTGAGCTGCACGTCCAGTTTGTCTGCCTCCTGTCGACTGAGTCCACACTGACGTAACAGCTTCAACCTGCCTCATTACACTCCAACACACACACACACACACACACACACACACACACACACACTGCTGTGTTAATCAGCTGCCCCTGCATGCCTTTCTCTCTCTCAGGTCAATAACAAGAGAGCTTATTGTGTGAGGCTGTAGCTGCAGGCAAAACCCCAAATATTAAATCCTCCACAGGTCTCTCTCCCAGCTGACTGAAAATACTTTACACCTTTTATTTATTCCTGAAAACAACAAGTCTCTCAGACTCATTATTTACTGTAATAATGGCAGAAAAATACATAATTGTTAACAATAAAGCAGACAGAGAATCTTTATATTTACCTGTACGTCTGATGACAGAGAGCCGAGCTCACACAGCTGCACTGTCAAATATTTGACTCTACGTTTACATTAAAGCAACAGCCAAAAGATTATCAGGGATGCAGCCTTTGTCAAATATGCCCCAAAGCTATTGAACACATGACCCACAGATATCAGGGAAGCTAGCTCATGAAATATTTTTAAAAGAAAGCTAAAAACATATTGTTCACTTTAGTCTTTAACTGACTTTCGTCACACAGGTCTGACACTCTTTCTTTTTGCTCCTCACGCTGCTGCAACTCTTTTAGAATCTCACTTGATTTTATAATTTATAGTTTTTGTGATTTTATGAATGAGTTAAGCCATGATTAAAATGTTATAAATGTCCTTTAACACTCACCTGCCTCTTTATTAGGTACACCTGTTCAACTGCTCGTTGACACAAACAGCTAATCAGCCAATCACATGGCAACAGCTCAAAGCGTTTAGTCATGTAGACATGGTGAAGACGTGCTGCTGAAGTTCAAACGGAGCATCAGAATGATGAAGAAAGGTGATTTAAGTGACTTTGAACGTGGCATGGTTGTTGGAGCCAGACGGGCTGCTCTGAGTATTTACTGGGATTTTCAGCACAACCATCTCTAGGGTTTACAGAGGATGGTCCCAAAAAGAGAAAATATCCAGTGAGCCAAAATGCCTTGTTGATGCCAGAGGTCAGAGGAGAATGGCCAGACTGGTTCAAGATGATAGAAAGGCAACAGGAAGTCACATAAGCACTGGTTCCAACCAAGGTGTGCAGAAGAGCATCTCTGAAGCAACAACACCTTGTCCAACCTTGAAGCAGATGGGCTACAGCAGCAGAAGACCACACCAGGTGCCACTCCTGTCAGCTAACAACAGGAAACTGAGGCTACAATTCACCAAAACTGGACAATAGAAGATTGGAAAAACCACATTCAGATGGAAGCATGGATCCATCCTGCCTTGTATCAACGCTTCAGGCTGCTGCTGGTGGTGTAATGGTGTGGGGGAGATTTTCTTAGTACCAACTGAGCATGGTTTAAACACCACAGCCTACCTGAGTATTGTTGCTGAGCGTGTCCATCCCTTTATGACCACAGTGTACCCATCTTCTGATGGCTACTTCCAGCAGGATAACGCACCATGTCACAAAGCTCACATCATCTCAAACATGACAATGAGTTCACTGTACTCCAATGGCCTCCACAGTCACCACATCTCAGTCCAATAGAGCACCTTTGGGATGTGCTGGAACGGGAGATTCTCATTATGGATCAACTGTGTGATGTCATCATGTCAATATGGACCAACATCTCTGAGGAATGTTTCCAGCACCTTGTTGAATCTGTGACACCAAGAATTAAAACCTGGTATTTTGTATTGTCATCATATCATTTCACACGTCCAACCCATCAATAAGCCCACACACTGATGACGGATGAAAGTCAGTGTTTGTTGAACCCATCCACCATCCGTCCTGCCTGCCTCGGTTGGACTTTCGGTGGTTTAACTTTTGTCCTTGTCCCGCCGTGTTTCCCCCTGACGCTGCCGGGCAGTGTTGAACTGTAACAGCAGCTGGCCATGTATCGTACCGACGTTAAAGGACGCCTTTTTTCGTTGGTTTCTGACACTGCAAGTCACTGCCCGAGTACTGGACTTCAGTGACTTCAGAGTAAGACGGGGCTCTGACCGCTAAATATCAACACAACTTTTGAGTAAATATGAAGTTGATAAACTTAAGTAAGTGTTTCAAGGTGAAAGCAAATCATGTTGGTTTTACTAAACTTATTGAGTTTGTCAGATTATAAAGGACTCATAGGATTAACTCTCAAAGGCCAGAGTTGGAACTACTCGAGAAGATGCATGCAAATTGTTACCTTTATGTTTATAAGTAAAAAAAAATTAACTAAAGCTCGTTCCTGCACTTTCCCATGAATAATGGGGTATTTTATTATTTCTGGGGTTATGTATGCCAAAGTAGTTTGAAATATTTTTTCTGCATAGCTTTAATGAACCAAACTATGTCTCTCCCTCAGGTAGCTTTGCTGTAGTTCAACTTCGTCCAGTGTGAAGGAACTGGAAGCTTGGCTTCCACAACGCTGGTTGTGAGGTTAACTTCGGCAATAACAGTTGTTAGTCTCACAGTTTATTTATAAAGAGAAATCACGAACAGAATCAAGCCAAAGAACTCACCTCACACGCCTGCAGCTTCACCAACAGCACAGTGTCTCTATCTTTGGCTCTGCTGGTTCATTTTTAAACACTGAAAAACCTCAAAGTCTTGTCGCAACTTTCCTTTTCATTCTCCATGTGGAGAGTAAAAGAATGGGAGGAAGCAGGAGGACATGAGGTCAAAGGAAAGGGCCGAGCTGGAGGAAGAGGAAATAACAGAGGCTCCATGCTTGAACAGTAAAAACAAATTCAAATATTTCGTCATAATTTATGAAGCTTGCTGACTCCGTCGAATGACTCCTGTTTCTACAGCTGATAATAAGTGTTGAACTCGTTTTCCACACGCCATTTTAGAAATGGAGTCACTGCTAGGTTATGGGATGTCATAGTTACCGGTATGAGTTATTTTTGCACGTATTTTTTGAATTGTGAACAATTGCACATTCTGCAGTCAATATTTTGAACATTCCATTCTCTCTTGTTTTTAAATTTTGCACAGCTCTTTTGATTTTAAAGGTCCAGTGTGTACGATTTAGGGAGCCTGGTCTCACTCCGAAGTCACTGAAATCCAGCGCTTGGGCAGTGACTTGCAGCGCCAGAAACCGAGGAAAAAAGGCGTCCTTTGACGTCGCCATGATACACAGCTGGTTGCCGTTATAGTTTAATGGCATCCGGCAGCATCAGGGAGAAACACTGCGAGACAAGGAGGAAAGTTAAGGAGGCCAAAGTCTGGGCGGCAACATAAAGTTTACATATATTCTTAATTGTACATTTCTTTTTTATTTCTGTGATTCCTGACTGTTGCAATACTTGTTTTTCATCCATTCATTGTCATCCACTTATCAGGGGCCAGCAGGCAGAGCAAAGCACCCCAGACGTCCCTCTTTTCAGCAAAGCATTCCAGTTTCGTCAGGAGGACCCCAAGGTGTTCCCAGTCCAGATGAGATGTAATCCCTCCAGTGTGTTCTGGGTCTGCCCCGGGGCCTCCTACCAGTGGGACGTGCCTGAAACACCTCTAACAGGAGGCGCCCAGGAGGATCCTGATCAGATGTTGAACCACCTCAACTGACCCATTTTGACGCGGAGGAGCAGCGGCTCTACTCCAAGCTCCCTCCGGATGTCTGACTCCTCCCCCTATCTCTAAGGCTGAGCCCAGACACCCCACAGAGGAAACTCATTTCGGCTGACTGTGTCAGCAGTCTTATTCTTTCAGTCACTACCCAGAGCTCATGACCATAGGTGAGGGTTGGGACGTAGATGGACCAGTAAATCAAAAGCTTCACCTTCGGGCTCAGCTCCCTCTTCACCATGACGGTCCAGCGCAGTGTCTGCATCACTGCAGAAGCTGCACCAAACCACTGATCCATCTCACGCTCCAGGTTAGGTTCAAATTCCTTGTATGTAAAAACCTACACAACTGAAAAACAATGATAGTTTTGTGCATTTTATTAAAAGAGAACAGAAAATTGCTTTTCAGTTAATAAAATATGAAGGCAGGAAAAACATAAATAAGCAAGTAATAAAAAATGTCTTCAGTTATAAAAAATGAAGCACAACCAGGCCCAGCAGTATGACGTAAAAACACATTAATATAATATGAATGGTCCCTCATCAAAATGCAGTAAAAATAAAAACAAGTTGAAATTCAAATTCTGTGCATTAAAACATAAATAACAAAAAACAAACCAACAAAAAAACTGAAGTTCAGTGATTGATACACAGTCTGAATTTTAAATACAGTAACATGAAGTAAAATATAAAACTCATCAGCGTGTGACTTCTGTTAACCCGTTAAACTCTCAATACTCAATCAGTGTCTCGTTTAATTTAATCCAATATACAACATTCTCCGTTCTGCTTATCATGTTAGGGGGTGGGGTGGGGGATGAAGCCTATCCCAGCTGACACTGGGTGAGAGGCAGGGTTCACCCTGGACAGGTCACCAGACTATCACAGGGCTGACACATAGAGACAGACAACCATTCACACTCACATTCACACCTACGGACAATTTAGAGTCACCAATTAACCTGCATGTCTTTGGACTGTGGGAGGAAGCTGGAGCACCTGGAGGAAACCCACGCTGACACGGGGAGAACATGTAAACTCCACCCTAGGGTTCAAACCAGGAACCCTTTTCCTATGAGGCACCAATGCTAACCACTGTGACGAGGAAAAGACATTAATTTGGAAAGCTCTGAGTTCTGAAATGTTCATCTTGTCTTCAGAATAAAAGCAGGAATTTTAAATTAAAAGAAAAAAAATACACATATAATTGAGGTTGATCATTATGCCATGTGATAAAAGTACAAATCAATAAAAAATAAAATTCCTGTTTTTGACAAATTATTAATCTGGCCTCTCCGGAGACAACCACACTCTTTGATAATAATAATTCATAATCCCTAATAATCCCTGTAATTGTAGTTTTCCCTTCAATAATCCATGTATATTTACTGACACTGTAAACATTGATTTACAGGTATTTGTTTCTAAACTACGTGACTCTTGAGGGGCCGTGTAATTTCATTTAACCAGTGGTGGGACCAAAAATAAAAGATGTGTCTACAGTGAAAAATAAATATTCAGATTCTCAGCATGCTGACAAAATAAGAGCCCGTACTGGGGTTCATTCTTTCTTTCTTGACAGGATGAACTAAACATTTCATCACATGTTGGTGCTTCGTTTTGTTTGAGTCTCACATGGTTTGCTCAACCCAGTCGTCTAAACCAGTTTTCCCAGTAGGAAGGAGAAAGACGCTCCTATTGCCAAACCCAGCACGAGGAAGAACGTCATCAGGGAGCCGGCCGTCTCGCAGTCTTTACACCGCACTAACCTGACAGACACAAATACACAGTTACAACATGACCTCTCGCCATTTTGACTTTAAAACTCAAATCGTTTTGTGCAGTAGACGCAGCAGAGACTGCACTTCCTGTAGCAGACTCACTGTGGAGCGTAGGCCATGCAGAGGCTCGCCAGGTATCCGTTAGTGAAGGCGAACAGGGCTATGATGGTGACGAAGGCGCAGTCGTGGCTGAAGAGGACGGTGAGTCTGGAGTTGTGGACGTTACACAGCATGAGCAGAGGGATGAAGACCAGACGAGACAACACGGCGGCGGGAAACAGGAGGCTGTCCTTCGAAGGCTGCACAAACGGCAACGCAGTCGAACCATTACTATGACGACTGAACATTTGAATAGAACATAAAGCAACACTGAGCAGCAGACTCACCCACTGGCCAAGAGACGGGGCGCTGCGCCCGACCACGTCCATGACGTTGAAGACGATGAAGCAGCAAACGCAGGTGAACACTTTTTCTGTAAGAGAAGGAGAGCAGGACTGAGCTGGTGGAGTGACTTTCACACACACTGTGACCTGGTGATGAAACACTGCGTCCAGTCGGTCTCATTCATGAAATATGTCAGTAAATCTGTGAGTAGATTTGCACATAAAAAACCTTGGTGCTAAGAAACCTACACAGGATTCACGAACGCCGCAGGAAACTCGGATTTAACCGTAGGCACGTGTGTTTGTTCATGAATGCCAGTCAACTGCAAATTGACAGCGTGCTCAAATTAGCAATTAGTGGTGCAGTGGTTAGCATTGTCACACCACAGCAAGAGAGTTCCTGGTTCAAACCCTGGATAGAGGGTTTGAACCTGGAGCCCTTCTGTGTGGAGTTTGCATGTTCTTCCCGTGTCAGCGTGGGTTTCCTCCAGGTGCTCCAGCTTCCTCCCACGGTCCAAAGACATGCAGGTTAATTGGTGACTCTAAATTGTCCGTAGGTGTGAATGTGAGTGTGAATGGTTGTCTGTCTCTATGTGTCAGCCCTGTGATAGTCTGGTGACCTGTCCAGGGTGAACAACAAACACCAACTTTCACCTAAGAGAGCAGTGTTCGCGTCCTGTGAGATTATAAAAGCCAAACCCTGTTCTTTTTCCCCCAAACATAACCACATGCATTGGTTGTTGAAGAAAAAAAAACTTAAATTCACGGTGTTGAACCAACCTAGCTCGTTTATTTTGTTAGTACCCACGAAAAGATCAGAGCTACTAACATACCGATGAATTATGAATACATGTACATTTCCTTCTGCAAAGACTTTACACACAAATTCATTCTGCTCACGTTTCATGAATGAGACCCTTTGTGTGTAATTACTTTCACCATCTGACTTATATTTGGTTGGTTTTCAAGCACTTCCAAAATATTATTGAGCACCAAAGACATAACTAAGACTCTGACGCTATTTCAAAACTTGTAAACTCTTAATTACGATCACTCTAATAAGACATGAACACAGCATGATGGTGCGACGTCTCACCCCAAGCAGCGTTGCCCGTGTAGACGGTCAGAACTCGCACTGTGATCACAGGAAACACTGCCAGGGTGACGGCAAACACACACGTCACACAGGCAGCCATCAGCCAGATCTGCAGGACACACAAGGACTCGTTTAACACACACTCACTCTGTCAGTAAAGATTAGTAAAAAGAAAAGGTAAAAACAACATTTCTAAGGTAACAAAAAGAATATTTTTTTCTAATATAAGTATCAACATGTTAAAGTGCAGAGTGAGAATGTTATTGATGCTAACAGGAAGTAGACAAAGACCAAAATGTTTGAGTCACAAAAGTCAGAATTTAATTAATGATAAACTACAGCAGGAACACTCACTCATCACAGTTTGTTTGCTACTTTCGGTCCTTTAGTCCTTTAATAAATCTAAAAAAATAATCAAGGATCCAACGAAAAACAGTCAGTGTCCTTTTAAAAGTCATAATGTCCAAATCATTTGTATAAATTTTATGTCTTCAACCATCTGGACAAACATTAAATAGAATAAAGTGCGTAAAGTTCTTCACCTTCTTGAAGACGTTCAGGACCGACGAACGCTCCTGGTTCTCCTCTGGCTCCATGATGAACTTCCCGTTGGCCTCAAGTTCTTTCTCGTTGTTCAAGACTTTCTTCTCTTTAAAGGGAGGAAATAAGAATACATCAGTGACTTCACTGATAGTGTGATTAAAAGAACCTCACCTGGAGCCAGCTGCAGCTGCAGTTCCTAGGTTCAGATTTGGACCAAATTAAAGCACCTCATGAACCGTCGGGTGTTTCTGTTGTGTAGCTAACT